CTGTTGCCATTCTGTCCGGGTGTTGTGTGCAGCCCGTTCAGTGGTGCGTAACTTCGTTTTGTGGGACAGTTTTCGGCAAGTACATGCGTAGAGAGCTTTACGATGGCCTACTGCTGTGTTCCGCTGTGCAAATCGGACGAGAAAAAGAAACCGGCAGGGCTTTCCTTTCATGAACTACCCGCTCGAGCGCGCTGGCTTGCCGCAATACGACGAGACAAGTGGTCGCCGAACACCACCTCATGCTACACCAAAGTATGCAGTCGCCACTTCAAAGAAGAGGACTTCATCGAATTCAAGCGGCGACTGCCTAAAGAAAGAGGCTGTGCCGTCAGTTTTTGAAGAATACCCGCCCCATCTCCAGCCGAAATCAACTCCCGCGAGAAATACAGCAAGCATCGACAAAAGAGTGAGTGCTACAATGGCGCGCAGCGACTCCGCGAGCGTCAACGTTGCTTCAGCAGTGGCGGATATGTCGGATTGTTGCGCGATGGACACATCGTCGGAGGCCAACTTGCGTGATCAAGGCGTTCAGGTAGACAACAAGTCAACTTCAAGTGTGCTTGTCGCTGAGAAAGCGAAATGGAGAAGAAAAGAAAAGGAGTTGAGGAGCCAGCTGCTTCGACTGCAACAGACCGTCGACAAGTACAAAATGGAATTGAAAAGCTGCACGAGGACGCCCTGGTTGCGGATGTTTCTTACATCAAGAAAAGGGCGAAAGAAAAGGAACCTGCAGCTTTATTCTTGATTGATCAGATTGAGAACTTCAAGAAGAGGCCGAGCTGGTCTGAGGAGACAACCCGACGTGTAGTTTTAAGGCATTTGTCGACAAGGGCGTACGAACACATCCGCGGTGAAATGCTTTTGAAGCTTCCTTGCAGAAAGACTTTGAGCAACTACTTGGGAACCACCAGTGGAGAAACGGGCTTCAGCAAACTCGCCGAAGCTCGCCTCAGAGTAGAAGCCGAAAGCTTTACTGTACCACGGTCAAGGGTGTGTTCACTCATAGTCGACGAAATGAAGATCAGGGAAAAGCTGCAGTACAACAAACAGCGGGACTGCTTTGTAAGGCACGCCGATGTCTCTTTGGAACAACATGGTGGGGACCTCACCTTAGCAAACTCTCTTGTCTGCTTCCTAATTACAGGACTCTCGACGTATCGCATCCCAGTGGCCTACTATTTTACCAAGGGGTTAACAGGCCCACAGCTTCACAAGTTGTTGATTTTTGTGCCTGAAAAAGTAAAAGCCTGTGGTTTCAGGGTAGTTCGCTTAGTGAGTGATAACCACAGAGTGAACGTCAATGCCATGACACTTTTGGGCGATGTTCTTCTTACGTACCGGATAGAACATCCCTGTGACTGCGACAGGCTCCTCTTTTTAAGTTTTGATGCATGCCACATTTTAAAAAACGTGTGCTCGCAGTTTCTGGCCCACGACATTGGTCTGAAAGGAGAGGTCTCATCCTGCTACATCAAGAAGCTCTACGACCTACAGAAGGACCTGGTTGTAAAGCCTGTCCGCTACCTCAGCCGAAAACATGTCTATCTGAATAACATAGAAAAAATGAATGTCGCAAGGGCAATTCAGGTCTTCTCGCCTGATGTTACTGCAGCCCTGGAGCATCTCAGAGACCAAGCTGGGCATACATCGAGTGTATCATTCGGAGTTGCAGGCCAGACCATCATTTTCATGCAAAACATCGATCGATGGTTTGTGCTTCATGATACAAGCAATACGACCCAGCACATTCACAAAAAATGGCCTGACACTCGGCAGTTTGACGATGCTGAAGATGCAAGACTGGAGTGGCTCGAGGTCACGCTACCCATGTACTTCGATGAACTGGAAAAAAGCTGTCGAAGTCAAAAAGAATTTTTGACGAAAGAAAGGTATGAAGCATTCCTCCTGACCACATATTCCACAAATGCCTGTATCAAGTACCTGCTCACAGAGGAGAAGTTCTTGGTTGTGCTCACGTGTAAGTTTAATGGTGACCCCATCGAGTCGCTGTTTGAAACACTGCAAATGTCCTCTGGCTGCAATGACATGCTGAATGTTCGTTATGTTTTGCGAGGGCGGGAGAAGGTTTTAAAAACTGGACCTGCCGCATCCAGCATGGCATCAAACGTTGCACACAGAGAATGTGCCCAAATGTCAACAGGCACACTGCTCACTGAAGCTTCTCCTTCGCTAACACAGCAGCTGCCTCAGCTACAGAGAGCTGCATGTGTTTTGCAACGGCTCAATGCAACAGTCTTGCCTCAGCACTTGCCGTCACTTGAGATTTCTGCAACTATTTTTGTTGGAGGCTATATTGCCCGCGTCATAAACGAGCACATGTGTTGTGGAAGTTGCACTGCAGTCTGCACAAAGCCAGCGAGCAATCAACCTATCTTGCAGTTCACCGCAGCCAGGACCGAGGTGGGCAACTTTACCCGTCAGACCAGTTGCTGTTTGCCGTTGACGTGCTAAGGGCATTTGCGGATCGTGCTCTGAAGGACAATCCGACTCTAAAAAATCCATTGTCTACCCTGGTTAAATATGCTGTGGCAGCACTGTGTGCTTCAAACCTGCTCAAGTGCAAGGAGATGAATGACATTGATTGATATGTGGAGTTTAACGTCCCAAAACCACTATATGATTATGAGAGACGCCGTAGTGGAGGGCTCCGGAAATTTAGACCACCTGGGGTTCTTTAACGTGCACCCAAATCTGAGCACACGGGCCTACAACATTTCCGCCTCCATCGGAAATGCAGCCGCCGCAGCCGGGATTCGAACCCGCGCCCTGCGGGTCAGCAGCCGAGTACCTTAGCCACTAGACCACCGCGGCAGGGCATGATGAATGACACTCACAGAGCTAAGCTCATGGAGCTGATATCTGTTCGGTTTTTGCGGCCCCTGCTGGTGAACTATGCATTCACTGTCAGTGACAAGCATGATGCTTTCAAGTACTTCGCGAAAAAGCCCCTGTCAAGAAAACATGCAAAACTGTGAGGCTACCGAAAATAGAGGTACTTACAAATAAATGTTCCTTCTTTTTTCAAAATGTATTCATATCGCATCAATTGGGTTCATTTTGCAGAATATAGAGCTGCTACGCATGGAAAGTCAACGTTGAAAATTCATGTACATCATGTCCAAGCATGTAGGTGCGTGCGTACACGGCATGTTTTTGGTATTCATTTAGCGTGGCGTTCTTCGCTTGCGGCTAGTGCGTGAAAGCTGGCAACCAGATCTCTGAAACACTCGGTAACATAACTCAGCGATTACAGCCGCGATATATTGAGGTTTGAGAGCAGAACATTAAGGATTTAATCTGTTTATATTTCAGCGCGGAGCCAGAACCACGGCGGCTGCAGCACGTAGTGAACTCCGGCACCCTGTTTAGGCGGCGGCACCTGGTGTCGAGGCGCCGCACTCGCGCCGATGGAGTAGTCCCATTGTTCTCTTTCTCTTTTACCGAGCACTGAAAGTTATAAAGGAGGCACTGTCTCGGCAGATGATGACACATGCCATGATGCTGCACATGCCTGTTTTGCTCTACAAATAATCCACAACTATATGAAGGAACAACTTAAGCCTGACACGCATGTTACTTATGTTTCTGATGGTGCATGCAGTCACTTCAAAAACAAGTACCAGTTGTTCAAGTTGTCAGAAAGATCATATATCAACACAGTGGATTTTTTTGGCCACAGGACATGGCAAGAACTCTTGTGACGGTGTTGGTCGCCTACTAAAGCATTAGGCTACGCTCTACAACCTCAGAGCGGCAAGCTCAGCTGTGATTATGTCAGCATCCCAAATGGTGGCGCAAATGAGCGCGAAGCTCAAGAATGTCAAGCTGCTGTGTGCAAATGCAGACGAGCTAGAAACATTCCGTCAGTTTAAGAAGAGCCAGTGGAAATCGTTGCCTCGTGTTCCAGGCATACGTTCTTGGCATGTTTGGCTAAGCACATCTGAGGGCACTGATCGTGGTCGTGTTTTGTGAATGTGTTGTTTCTCTTGTTTCACGCAGCCACCACCAAAATACCAATGAGGGTACTTCAAGCGCATATGCTTTTTCTAGCGAGACCCAACACTTGCGTTGGAACATTTTCAAGTTTGAGTTTATCTGCAAATATAGACAGATGTTTTGCAACTGAGTTACAGTGTCGAATATTTCCTCGATTAGAGCTGTGTTATCAGGAGCATGAATGCGCCTTCTTGGGTACGTATTTGTCACAGTGCTAAAACAGCCTTTCTTCACCAAATGCGGTCACGTTTACTCGTGCTTGAAGCTTATTGCCACTTTTCCGTTCCGATTTCTAGATTTCTCAACTTATCAGCGCATTCTAGAAAAGCTCTGATTTGTACCACGAATATTGTTGCTAAAAACAAAATAATGCTGTCTGGTGGCCTTCAGTTATCTATTTACCAGATTTTAAGAAAAATCGAAGATGGGATTTTTTTATTATTCAAATTTCAGTGGAGTACACTTTTGCTAATATGAGAACTTTGAGGCAATATATAAAAATTTACATTTGCCCTTCGGCAGCAATAATTTATGTACCTAATAAACACACTATATCCTTAAAACGTGTCAAGTTTGAAAACGCTGCTTGCATTATTTTCGGAGAAAAAAAATGGGGAATACGTAACTTACCTTAAACTGTTGCAAAATTAGACATATTTAAAAGCTATTTTCTTAAGGTCTGCAAACTTGAAACCGTATGAATTCATTCTTCATTAGACATGCATTTCAGGTAAAAAATATCTTCCTTGAAACAAAAATATTTGTCTTTTTATAGCATCTGCAATTTTCGAAAATGACAGGTGACGAAGTTGGTGCCTCCGTGTTGGTAAAGTTTGATTTTTTTTTTCTCGTAAGTTATGCCATTAATAATAAAACTAAGTTGACTTTCAGGCTACCTGGTGAGGGGTGCACGAAACATAAAATACTCAATGAAATCTAAAATATCAACTTTTGGACCCGTGTCGATCTCTCGTGGAATCGCCCTTTAGAATTGCATGTATTTCTTTAACACTAAACAGACAGCCTTGCAAAGCATGCATCATAAACATGGACATGTTGAAATTAACATGATCCAAAGTGAATGTAATTCTAATTAAGATGACACCAACAAAGCTTCAGTCATATTATAACATTCACTATGTTTGCACCAGCATATTGTCAAAACCAGCATCACCACCAGTGCAATCACAAGGAGGCAACAGCATGAGTTTTCACATAAGGCTGGTGATGAACTGCTATCAATATGAAAGCTCCCCGAAATCGTTTCAGTTGGGCCAGTTTCATATTACATTAAAGGAATTATTACTTTTTCCCACTTATGCCAGAAAGACACTGATACTACATTTCACTGTAGTGATCATTATTCGAGTCCGAGGGCTTTTCACGCGAGGCTTGAAACAATGGAAGCACTATGGTCAACAGCGATCATGACGAAGACCCTAACATCAAGTCCGACTTCACGCTGAAGTGTGGCTTTCGTCCAGATGCTGGATACGAAACCTGGCCACAAAGATTCCGTCAGCATCAAGTATGCACAATGCATGCAGTCATTTGTAGTGGGATGTTATGTTCATAGGAGAAGCCCTCTGGGTGTGTCATGAGGAATTAATGGATGCACCAGTTTCTACAAAGCAACACAGTCTCCACTGTTGTCCTCAACCATGTCAACATAGTCTCAAAATACTCCCTCCGCAGTCATGTTCAAATAGCCGCTGCGTCCCTCAGGCGTTGTACTCTACGGACCGTGATGGGTCAGTTGGGAAGAGTCGCTGGCACTGGGTCATCAGCCGTTTGAGTGCCTGTGGTTGGATGAAGGAAAAGATAGCTGAAATACTCAAAAACAATACCTATTGCAGTAATGCTGTGTGACAAAACCTGACACGACAAACACCCTTGTAATCCCCGACAGCATCTCACTTACCTAAATAATGTGCGAGATGCTATCAGAGGATATAGGGTTTAACATCGCAAATCATGACAAGGTTATGAAACACTATAGTGGAGGGCTCCAGAAATTTTACCTATCTGGTGTTTTTTAATGTGCAATGACACCACATAGTACATGGAACTATAGCATTTCACTTCCATTGACATGTGGCCGCCACAGCCGGGATTGGACCCGTGACCTTCGTCAGAGATAAGCAGAGTGGAAAATTGGCAGAGTTGGTGCAATGGCATTCTTATATTATTTCACCTAAGGGGCCCCTGAACCGCTCAGAGGTTGAAATTCAGTTGTGGTGGGGAAGTTGTGCATGAGTGTACAACGACAACGGAGGCGCGAGTTATTTCTGGAACGTTGCCATAAAGTGCAGTTGCGTTTGATTGTCGAAACACCGTGATCACTCCTTTCGCCTTTTCCTTCGCTCCCCTCTGTAGACATCCTCTCCCAAAGCCGCTCTGCCCTTTTGCCAAGCGCCCTTTCTGATCTCGCGCCGCATACGTCATTGCTTGCACGCTGCTCGAAGCACCATCTACTTCCAGTTGCGACGGCTCTGGCCGTACGTCAACTGCGTGCTTGTTGGCGAACCGCTGATGCTGTGCTGGCCCATGCTTATGTGAATCGTGCCAGCATGGGCCCTGTGTTACGGGCTGCAGTAGCCGATTCGCAAGCATCCGCATGCACAAAGGCAACATGATGGATAACAAGCAGCATGGACGGCTGCTTGCAGTCTCGACAGAAGCCGCAGGCTCTTGCTCGACCAATCACAGCATCAATGTGCTGCGCATCAGGGATTCAAGTTTTCGCCGTCACGCAGAGGCCTAAAAGGCCTGGAGAGGAGGAGGGACTGTTCCTTTAAATTTGTGGCACGCCAGCGACTCGTAGCACTGCCGCGTGTAGAATTGTTGATTGCGATGGTATGCTGCACACGATGCGTGTGTTCACTTGAAATATTCGAAAAAATATCAGAGGTGGTTTAGGGGCCCTTTAAGGAGCCAGTTTTGTCATAAAAGAAAAAGGCTCGTAATTTGTAAGTGAGGTGCTCGTATATCTTCACTCTTATGCTCTGCATTGCACTCGTCTGTGCTATAAACTATTTTTGTCATATTAGTAAATTACTCTTTCACTATTCCAATACTACAACCACACTTTCCACAAGAAAACGCTTGGTGAGTGAGCAGAAGCACAAATACACCATGGGGATGCTGAATGTGTGGGTGAAGAAATAGGAGAACGAAGTGTGGCCATGAATGGAGAGCTTTTGCATGATGTGCAGAATGAACGTTTGCCTGACATATCATTTAAGTCATTAAAATCTTTGTCCTGTTCCATTCTATCAGCGAAGACACCTTCATTTATAAGCAGGTGGCTATGCCACTTCTATAGTATTTTGATGGTGTCTACTAGGTACTGCCTAGATCTTAATCAGTAAAAACCAAACGAAATGCATTGTCTTCTGAGGGGGCCACATATTAAACACACCAAGTTTCAGGAAGTTTTGTTGAGCTAATGGTGCCAAAATATGAAAAATACACTTTGATATCTATGGCAGCATGTGTGGATATTTAAGTGTGAAGTCTAAAGTGAATTTGTGACCTTAATTTTCTTTCTTATTAATAAAACTATCATGACATTAGAGTTCTCAGAGCACATGACTAGGAGCTTTATCATACTTAATTTCATAATGTATGTTCATTATTAAAGGCCAGGATAAGGCTGATGTTCTGCTTTTCACTTTGGTGCTGAAACACTGACTCTGGATTTCAGAGTGAGTGTTTCAACAATATCGTGGATTTAGACATACTTATTGGCATTTCGGCTGAGCTGACTCAACTAAGCTTCATTAAACTTGACATGTCTAATGGGTGTCTGCTTTAAGGGAAGACACGGTTCGAAAAGTCGCGGTTTTCCGGAAAATTTCCGCTTTGTTTTTTCTGGTTGTATTGGCATCCTTGGACTATAATCTTTTACTTCTGAAAACATAAAGCTGAAATTCGCTCGAGAAATGATCTAAAAATGCTTCCAAGTGGGGAGCGGTGACGTGAGAAATGCGCAAAAGTCGCCAAAAATGGGGTAGTTCGCGTTGTCCTGTCGCGAAAATGACACGTTGGCCGCCATTTGCAATTGTGCACGCATGCAGAAATATGATGTACTAAAATGGGGTAGTGTGCCGTCTTCAGCGAAAAGCAATTGGAGCAACGAAGTCACTTCTGCGATGACGCCACCAGAGGGGCGCTGCAGTTGAACGGTGTGCCTAAGGCGCGAAATTTGAATTCGTTATGCGGGGCCTAATACTGGTTTAGGCTAAAAAGCTTCATCATTTCACACAGTTTTCGTCGTCGCTCAATTTCATACCATTAGACGACTAACTGCAGACAATTATAAGAAATTTTTAAATGTGCCCGCCCACAGAGCTCGATTGTGGCCTTGATGTGACTAAATCTACGTGTAGGCCGTATTTCGTCATTGTGTACCGAAAAGAAGAGCTCAAAATGAAGCGTGATGTAAGGGCTTCTAAGTTCTTAACACACTGGGTAAAATAATAACTTGCTTGCACGGCACTACATTTCTAATCATCTGCTTCAACTGCTTGTGTTGAGCATCGTCTGCTCATAGTGCAGACGGTAAAAAACGTCGTTTTCCGTGCATGTAGGCCCTGTGTTTACTTAATGCAATAAAAAGTATTTATTAGTAGAAATCATTAAATGAACTGTGAAGACAGTACTAAATGTGAAAGACAAACACTGAGTGGTGCGGGTGTTTTTTTGCGATCGTCTGCTACATTTATAGCAGATGTCCACATGACGCACAGCAGTGTATCCCTGGCTGCCGCCGCTTTCTGTCGCATGAGTCTACGTTACATTTGTTCCTCCGATTGAAGTGCATTTTCAACGTGTGTGCGTACTCGCGAAAAAGAAAACATGAAGAAGCGGAAGAGGGAGAGTAGGGACACGACCTGTTTTGTTCCAGGCTGTACAAGCCGCTACCGGTCTTGCAAAGAAAAGTGGTTTCTTTTTCGTGTGCCCAAGGACCCAGAACGTCGTGAGGAGTGGTCGCAGCTTATTCAGAGAACTGACAGGGAGCTTAATGAAGCGTGCACAACATGTGAGTGGCACTTTGAGCCACGCTACATAGAGACATCATACAAGACGACAGTCAATGGCGAAATAGTGGAAATCCCATGGGGGCTGCCGCGTTTGAGTGAGGACACTGTTCCATTGTTATTTCTCAAAGCACTAACCTGCACGTCAAAAAATGAGTAAGTGAAGAGAAAAAATGGAGACAAGGCCGAGCAAGCGCCAGCAAAGAGGCAACGTAATGTGACACCGGATACTACAGAGACAAGTGAAATCACGTCGACGCCAAGTAATAATGCAACGAGCGAAACTCCAGGTGATCTCCTACGATTATAATTATAATTATAGTCAACTCGATTGATCAGCCCGAGAAGAGCCTGAGCCCAGAAATTCATTGCACGCAACCAGAAATAGTTAATTTAAAAAAAACACAGCAATAAAGCAATGCTTGCCCCCTTTTTGCATACAGCTCATTCCAATCGAATATAGTCGCAAAGATTTACCAGTGCTAAGAACGCAAGAGAACGCCGCAGGAACGAACTGGCAGTCGAAATAGACAAAGCACTCTTGGACCCAATCGTGCTAGTTAAACATGACCTCCGTGAAAGCCGAGCCAATCTCAAAGGTCGTATATTATCTGCGGACAATCAATGACTCTGAGGTCCAGCGAGTGGTGGCGCCACCATAGAACAGAATGCTCTGTTGATGAGGCTGTCATCGCAAAAAGAGCCACATCTCAGGCGCGAGACGGCACACTACCCTATTCCAGTACACCATACTGCGAAAGCCTTCCCCTTCACAATCCACTAGTAGCCAGTCTCGTATCTTCACGAAGAATAAACGTAAAACAAGAAAAAAAAAAACGCATACGCAACGCGTTTCGAATGTCGCGGCATGCAGCGCGAGGTCCCCATTGGTCGGCGGTGCGCTCCGCCTCCTTCCCCTCTTATCTTTCTGGCAAAAGAGCAAAGCCTCGGACGTCGCAATCGAGTTGTTCAGCGTTTCTCTGCAGTTTTGCGTCATGACAAGCCCCAAGAAGCCCAGTCTAGATCATTGAAAGTTCAGAACTCGTCCCAAGTATCGAGCAAAACGGCGTCGGACGCTTCCCAACGCGACAGCGAATGCCGATGTCACCGACCAACGCCCCGACGCTTTGACTTTGGATAGACCTAACACTGGCACCAAACTCCGTGGCGACAGTGGTTGTGAAATAGCCGCTGCTGTGGAATTCGACAGTGCATCCCAAATGAAGAGCGGATTCTTCTTCGAGTGAACGTAGACCAGTAGGTGCTGCTACTGCCAACACGCTGCTTTGCGAAATTGATGTGCTGACTGCCCTTGTGGCAGGTGCGCAATGCCCAACCTGCCGCGAACGGAAACTCGGTGTCCGAGAGGAAGCTGGAAAGCGCAAAGAGCTTTCAGCATTCCTCGAACTGTGCTGTAAAAATACCGATTTCCTTGAATCTACACTTTCATTCACGCACACATCGAGACGTACTACTTCGGCCAGGCACCAAGGGACGAGCGCTCGTTTGGACAGCGGCAGCTTGCAGAATAGCTTTGCTGTAAACGTGAACGCCGTTCTGGCAGCATGCGTTATAGGCGCAGGCCATGATCAACTTTCACGATTCTGCGCCATTCTTGGTCTTCCGTGCATTCAGTGCAAGCTGCTTTTCATTGTGCCCCAATTTGATGAAAAAAAAAAAAAAATGGTTTCCTAATAATTGCCAACTTTCCAGACTTTCAAACTTGTTTTTCTCATTTTCATTTCTTATGGCAATTT